TTGATGGTTTGGCAGAGAGATGCTGAAATTCAGGGCACTAAAAATGGGAAAGGCTGTCGGGTTTTCCTCATGGAGGCGTTGGCTTATAGATGAGTGCAGCTGGGCCGTGGAGCCGTGAGCTGAGGCAGCTGCTCCCAGAGTGAGGCTCCAAGGACCATCCCGTCACTCCAGCCTGCCCTAGGCCTCTCCTCCACACCTGATCAGTGCTCGGCATCAGACCATGGCGCGATGGGTGACCCGATGCCTCGTTATGCCCCTTCCTTTTATGTTTAGACACAACAGCTGCCCAGCTTGCATGTTCCAGTCGAGGGCATAAGACTGACAGAACAGATTCTGTGGCAGTGAAGGTACCAAAGTGTAAACAGCACCTAAAGCCAGGCCTGACAAGGGTTGAGACACACCCCCCTCAACTTAAGGAATAAACTGTTCTGACTGCCACGGGGTTTCTTTTTCTCTAGCGGCTAAATAAGCAATATTCACAGTTGTAGCTCAGTGTCCGGCACTGACTAAATGGCCCCCAACCCCTGTTCCAGCAGCCGTAGCTACAGCTCCAACTGGACAAGAGACTGATTTCAGCAACTCTGCCCTGGGAAGAGACCACCTGCCATGCCCCGGTTCTGGCCGGTTTACAGAGGCTGTGCCCTTGTGTGCCTTTGTGTCCTGAAAAGATCTTTTGAAGTATAGGGCCTAAGTGTGATACATTTAAATATTAAGTCTCCACCCCATAGTGAACCTGGGTCACGTGTTACATGTATGTGTATTAGGTGTGCATGCATCAGGGCCACCTCATGAATATTCATGGCTCCTCCTGTAACCTGTTGAAGGTTTCTATTCAGCCAGCCTGTCCAGAGTAAAGCTCCTGTCCCACCCAGCTCCTCTGCCCATGTACCGGGGTCTGGCCTGGGTAGGAGGCACACTTCCAGCCTGCAGGATGGCCACCTTGGGGGCCATAGGCTTTCATAAGAAATCAAGTCTCTTCCCAGAAGCTCTTTAGTTTAATTAGGTCTTACCAGGCTTCAGCGACAGGATTTACCCATGTAACAAACTGCACATGAAGCTGAACCTAAAGTGAAGTGGAGGAAAAAAGTCTCTGCTTGTTTTCTGAATGTATAAATCTTGTGTTTCCTTTAAGTTAATGGAGTGAATTAAATGGTTCCTTTGTAGAGCAGCATTTCAGGTCTACATTAGCTTTCTTTTTTTTTTTTTTGTTTCATTTTCTTTTTTTTTTTTTTTAAATTTTTTATTGGATTATAGGTTTTGGGGTACATGAGCAGAGCATGCAAGACAGTTGCGTAGGTACACACATGGCAGTGTGCTTTGCTTTTCTTCTCCCCTTCACCCACATTTGGCATTTCTCCCCAGGCTATCCCTCCCCACCTCCCCCTCCCACTGGCCCTCCCCTTTTCCCCCCAATAGACCCCAGTGTTTAGTACTCCCCTTTCTGTGTCCATGTGTCCTCATTTTTCATCACCCACCTATGAGTGAGAATATGCGGTGTTTCATTTTCTGTTCTTGTGTCAGTTTGCTGAGGATGCTGTTCTCCAGATTCATCCATGTCCCTACAAACGACACAAACTCATCATTTCTGATTGCTGCATAATATTCCATGGTGTATATGTGCCACATTTTTCCAATCCAGTCTATTATCAATGGGCATTTGGGTTGATTCCATGTCTTTGCTATTGTAAACAGTGCTGCAATGAACATTCGTGTACATGTGTCCTTATAGTAGAACGATTTATAGTCTTTTGGATATATACACAGTAATGGGATTGCTGGGTCAAATGGAATTTCTATTTCTAAGGCCTTGAGGAATCGCCACACTGTCTTCCACAATGGTTGAACTAATTTACACTCCCACCAACAGTGTAAAAGTGTTCCTTTTTCTCCACATCCTCTCCAGCATCTGTTGTCTCCAGATTTTTTAATGATCGCCATTCTAACTCGCGTGAGATGGTATCTCAATGTGGTTTTGATTTGCATCTCTCTGATGACCAGTGACGATGAGCATTTTTTCATATGATTGTTGGCCTCGTATATGTCTTCTTTCGTAAAGTATCTGTTCATATCCTTTGCCCACTTTTGAATGGGCTTGTTTGTTTTTTTCCTGTAAATCTGCTTGAGTTGTTTGTAAATTCTGGATATCAGCCCTTTGTCAGATGGGTAGACTGCGAAAATTTTTTCCCATTCTGTTGGTTGCCGATCCACTCTAGTGACTGTTTCTTTTGCCGTGCAGAAGCTGTGGAGTTTCATTAGGTCCCATTTGTCTATTTTGGCTTTTGTTGCCAATGCTTTTGGTGTTTTGTTCATGAAGTCCTTGCCTACTCCTATGTCCTGGATAGTTTTGCCTAGATTTCCTTCTAGGGTTTTTATGGTGCCAGGTCTTATGTTTAAGTCTTTAATCCATCTGGAGTTAATTTTAGTACATTAGCTTTCTTTACCTTGTTACTCCGTAACCCTCTGGTTAATTTCCCTGAACATTTTGTTCACTTGTCAGTCAACTCACAGTGGCTGAGGCAGAAGGAAAACCACCCCTGTCTTACCCTTGGCCTGTGTCATAGAGCGGCAGGTCTTTTATCTCATGTTTGAGAGGTATCTCTGTGCTGGAGATTTTCAAACAGGAATTTGCATCTGGCTTTTTAAACGAGTTTGCAATTTCTTTGCTCTCCTCTTGACAGGTGGGGGTCTGTGCCGCCTCTCATGGGGCTGGACACTAGTGCTCACTTGTCACAGACAGGTGATGTGGAGGGGATGCCGTTTGACAAGGCCACGAGCCTCTGCCTGGTTCACTGTGATCACTCACCTGTGGAGCCCTTGGCTACCAAGTCAAGACTCTGAATGTCCTGAGACTGCCCAGCTACTTGGAAGCCCAGGACACCAGAGAGTCTCCTGTAGGTCCTCCAGCCAAGCCCACTGACCTCAGCAGACCTGTGAGTGATGTCACCTCCAGATGACGCCAAACCCTTGCTGTGGATTCAGCCCCAGCCAGTGACCGTTCTCTGCAGTCCCCAGACATCAAGAAGTAGCAAGAAGCTATTTTTTCTGTGTTTTGCATGAATTCCTATCCCTGTGAAGCATGAGCAAAACAAAATGGTTGTTTTATACCAGTATTTTGGAGTATTCATTTAAAAAAAAATTCACAATAAACGCACCAGAAATAACACACTTATAGCACATTCACAAGGTACAGAAGGTGGCACACTGAAATCTGGGTTTCTGCCTTGCCCTCTTCTGCAGCCTGCCAGCTCCTGCCTCTGATGTAACAGCTGTTAAGTTTTTGTACATTTTTCCTTAATTTTTTATGAAGATTTATTTATTGATGAAGTCTCACTCTGTCACCAGGCTGGAGTGTAGTGGCATGATCTCAGGTCACTGCAACCTCTGTCTACTGGGTTCAAGTGATTCCCCTGCCTCAGCCCCCCAAGCAGATGGGACTACAGGCACGTACCATCATACCCAGCTAATTTTTGATATTTTAGTAGAGACAGGGTTTCACCATATTCACCAGGCTGGTCTTGAACTCCTGACCTTGTGATCTGCCCGCCTTGGCCTCCCAAAGTGCCAGGTTTACAGGCGTGAACCACCTCGCCCAGCGGGTTTTTTTTTTTTTTACGTATTCTCTATTTTTTTAAAAAAAAATTTCTTCCCCAGTTTTCATTGGAGATGTGAATCTTTTCCAGTTTTTTCTTAGGTCTCACCACTGACTCTTTTTCTCTGTCTCATGCATGCATATATATGTGTGTATATATATTCATGTATGGTGTATAGTATGTGCAAACACACATTTTTCTGTCCAGTTGTTAGCAATTATAATTCTCTATTTAGACAGGTAATATTACCTGTTTCTTCCCAAATCCCGTCACTGACCTCAACTAGGTAATCCCTGGAAAAATGGAAACGTCTGTATTAATGCAGCTTTCATACCTCATCAATGTCATATTTGATTTAATAGTTCTTAAAGCTTGTGATGGATCTGCAGTGATGGAAATTTGCACTGAACCATTTCCTATCTTAGTGGGTATTTGTTATAAACAGGATAACGCTCTCATTTTTATTCTCTAATTTTCAGCTGTTCCGTGTTTTGCGGGACTTGTCAGTTGCCTTCCAGGTGCTAACTCTCATGACGAGATAATAAGAATGGGTGTGACTGGGTGTTGACTGATGAGCCAGAACACATTTAATCCTGGAGTCTGAGGTTATCAGAACACCCCACTCAGAAAATCATTCTTCATATATTTTCATACAACACATTGGTGAACATATAATGCTTCCTTTTTCTTCATCTCTGAGTGAACAGCCAGGCTTTCATGTGTACATTCACAGAGAGATCTTAAAGAGATTCAGAAATTAGTAAGTTTGTAACTTAGTTGCACACAGAGAAAAATAGTAGATAATATAGACAGCTGATAAGAGAAGACTTTATACAATTACTGTGAGTTATACTCTTAGAGATCAACTTTTAAAAATTAAATTTATACTAAGGCAAATTAAACTTTAATCTGGAGCAAATTTAAAATTGCTGAAAATAAAAATTGTTGAATATAGAAATTGTGGCTGACACAGGAATAGTAAGAATGGGTGGGACAGTACTTCATGTCAGGGTAGGAATCTCACTTTATTCTGAACATGTTAGTTTTGACCCTCTTCACCCTGAAATTTTCACTATCAAATATATTTGTAAGGCAGGTCTTCTTTCCTCATTTAACATTTATTTAATACACAGAGAATAATACTGAGGGTCTGGGATTCCAGTTTTGAAGTGAAACATGGACTCTGAGTGACCCTTGTCCTTGTGAAAGTGCACCGGTCTAGATAGCGGCAGTTGGACCCCATAGTGTGGCACGTGTTCCTGGGTTCATTTGCATATTCTTTTGACCTGTCACTGAGGTCACATGATGATGTATATCTTGTCTTCATCCCAACTGACAATGTGTTTCAACTGTCAGCTAGACTACTAGTCAAGATGGGAGGCCTCTGTTCCTGCCTTGGAGGTATGTTCATTTCCATCTTCCCACTGCACTTTCTTCAGATTTTAGGCCACTTGTACTGAAAATGTCTTCCTGCATTATTCTTTTCCCAGGTTTGTACATCCAGTTTGTCTACAGATGTACAAATTTGCTTTAGAGTTTGATGTCTCAATTTGTATTTTTGATTCTGCTGTAAAATTTTTTGCTTCAAATATTTTTCTCTGTTTAGAAAAATGTACTGTTTCCCAGGTCAATTTAGTTCACACATTCATAGAATAGATCCAGAAGAAACACCACAACCTTGCCTTAATCATGTCAGGAGATCTCGATACGAAATAGAGTAGGAGCCATTCCATGAAAGGCAGAGAGATTACAGGCCAACGTCTTCTAAACTCAGTTGTGAAACTCCTAAATCAAATTGTGGAAAAGCTTGACTCCAGAGAGTTTTAGAAAATAAACTGAGATTTTCTGAAGGAAAAAGTATCCTAGTTAAGAGGTTTTGGGGGATTGTTTTAAATTAAAGGCATGTTAAAAAGATAAACACAATCAAGTAGATATAAAAAGTTACAAAATAGAGAAAATTAATATTAGAGGTTACAATAGGTAGATGAAAATCTTACTTTGCAGTCAAAATGGACTGGGTTAGGTAGATTTATTTGTAAGGTGTTATTAAAATTAGCTACAATATTAAAAATACACTAATACCAAACTAAAATTTCGGTTTAAAAAATAAGCTTTTGTTAAGATAGATAATTTGTTCTCAGTGAAATACAAGAGGTAATAATTTTTCATTCCAAAATCTGTTTTTATTTTTAAACTTCTCAGATTTATACCTCAGAGATTCAACTTTTACTGTGTCTCTTTACATGTAATTTACATGTCCCACATCATTGCCTTCTGTTTCTTTTTTGTTGTCTTGCAACTAGACAGTCCCATCTGGGTGTGCTGGGAGAGAGTGACACATCATCAGCCATTAGATTCTCACACAGCGCATGCAGCCCAGATCTCTGTGCAGCTCACAGTAGAGTTTGTGCTCCTCTGAGACTCTAATGTTATGGCTACTGTGACAGGAGGCAGAGCTTGGGCGGTGACGGGAGTGATGGGGAGTGGCTGTAAACACAGATGCAGCTTTGCTCCAGCCAGCTGCTCACCTCCTGCTGTGCAGCCCGTTTCCTAACAGGCCACAAAAGTGCAGAAGTGAAGATGTATTTCCACTTCCAGCTTGGTTCGCTTTTTATAGTAAAGAACATCTCAATGCAAGGTTTAGATATTTAGCTGATTGTTAGACAGTAGCTAAAATGGAACTCTTCCTGAGATAGTGTGGCCCCATTTTCAAACAAATGGACATCATGTGAAACTTGTAAATGAACATAAAAGTTGAAGTACTACAGAAGTTCCCAGACGCCCTCCCCACTCAGTACCCTTTTTGTGATCACAGCTCACACGAATGTGGTGCATTTGTTACAGTGGCTGAACCGATAGTGATATCTTCTTATTAGTGAAAGTCTGGAGTTCACATTAAGGCTCACCCTGTGTTGTGCAGCCTGTGCATTTTGACAAACTCATGTCATTCATCACCCAGACAGAAGAGTTTTGCACCCAAAACATGACCTGTGCTGCACCTCTTAATCCCTTTCCTCTTTTCTCAGGACCCCTGACTGCTATAGATCATTTATTTTACTGCCTGTATACATTTTTCCCCAAATTTTATAGAATTGGAATCATAAAGCATGCAGCCACTTAGGACTGATTTCACTTCGCAATATACATGTAAGATTTTTCATGTCTTTTAGTAGCTTAATGGCTTATTCATTTTTACCAGTGGGTCACATTCCCTAGGGTCCATGTAACGGTGTGGGTTGGTGCACGCACCTCCTGAAGAGCATCTCAGCTGATTCCAGTTCAGGCGATTATGAATACATGTGCCCTCATTCTTGTGTGGATTTTGTAATGGGCATAATTTTAAAATTTAACTGGGTAAATGTTTACAATTTTAATCGGTTGTTTATATAACAAGACAATGTCTTCCTTTGTAAGAATTAGGAAGAATTCAGTAAAGTCACATGGGTATTTTTTACAAAGCTGTTGTTGATTCCATTTCTATAGTAGATATAAGCCTGCTCAGGTTATCTGACTCTCCTTTGGGTAGTTATAGTTTCTGCCTTTGGAGGAATTCATCATTTTCATCTAGGCTGTCAAATCTGTGAGCGTAGATTTGTTCTAAGTATTCTTTATTACCTGCTTGATATTAATGGGATCAGCAGGAATCATTCCTCTTTTTATTTATATTTTTTGTAAATTGTGTCTTCTAGCTTTTCTTTGTGGTGAGCCTGGCTGGAGGATTATGAATTCTATTTATTTTTTCTATGAAGCAGCTCTTGTTTTTTTTTTTTTTTTTAGTTCTGTTTATTTTATTATTTCTATTATAATGATCTCTGCAAATTGTTTTGTTCTATTTTAATGTGTGGATTACATTACACTATACTTTTTTCTCTAGTTTCCTAGGTGGAAGGTAAGAACACTGAATTAAGATTGTTTTTAGTTTTTTTCTTTTTTAAAAAGATGGAGTCTTGCTCTGTCTCCAAGGCTTGAGTGCAGTGGCAGGATCTCAGCTCACTGCAACTTCCACCTCTCAGGTTCAAGCGATCCTCCTGTCTCATCCTCCTGAGAAGTTGGGATTATAGGTGACCACAACCATGCCTGGCTAATTTTTGTATTTGTAGTAGAGGTGGGGTTTTACCCAGTTGGTCAGGCTTGTCTCAAACTCCTGACCTCGGGTGATTCACCCACCTCAGCCTCCCAATGTGCTGGGATTCCAGGCATGCACCAGCACACCTGGCCTGCTTTTAGTTTTCTACATGGCTTTGTGAATGGAACTAAAGCCACTTTAGTGTGCATTTAATAAAATAATCCATATTGTGTATTTTTCATCACAATAATGATTTAAAATTCAATGATATAGATGATAAATGCAGCAGGAGCACGGGTAGATTCAGGAACGTTAAACATTGTATCGTTTTTTCAAAAGAGGATAGTACCAGGCCTCTTTCTGTGCGGAGACCCTGTCCTGGAGTCATGCCGTGCACTTGTGTGCTGCCTCTGTGAACACTGCCTGCTTCACAGTGATGCGGGTGGCTTAGCCAGAGACCTGAGGCTCTGTCCCCCAGGGCTCTCCTGATGGTGCCCTTTGCCTTCCTTTAGCACCAAGGAGGGTGGCCCAGCAGCAGCTCAGCCCCTGCTTCTACCCCACCTCCTCTGCACACCCCAGCCCTGTGTCCTCAGCACCCAGGGCTGCCAGAGTGCCTTCAGCAGCTCCTGTGGCTGACAGTGTCTCTATGCTTCCTAGAACATCCAATAAACTGGGAGAAATCCTCTGCAAGAGCTTTTGCACAATGCATTGAGGACTGTGAGACTGTAAGTCTTCTTTTTTGTCTGAGATGGGAAATTTTTTCTTTTTTTTTAATTTTATTTTGAATTAAAATATACAAATCTTACCATGAACATTATAGATGAGTCACAGAATCTCCTGGTGGGCAAAGGTATGTGAGTGTCCATTACTAGCTTGGAACTTGTTCCAGATGGCACCCAGAGAGGACAGCTTCACTGGCAAACTGCATGGCCAAGAGAATTTTTTTCAGGGGAAATGCATTCTTCTGGAAAATAGTGGTGACTTTGCAACAAAATCACTTTGAAAACCTTATGCAGAATTCTGTGCCTTTCCGCAAGTGTCCTCTAGGCTTTATTTGGGGGTTATTGCCTTGAGAACTATTTCCCAACTGGTTTTCTAATGTCACCAAGTGAGGAAACCCATGCACATGGGACACAGCATGGTCTGAGGCTGACGGTGTTTTCCTTTCTCTCTGCAGATGATATCAGCTGTGCAGAAGCATGGTACGTACCATAGGATCACCCCTTTGCTCATGGAGAATTGTAAGGAAGGGGACACATTCCTCCCTGCTCTTGCTGGAGAGTCACACTAACTTGAGCTTCCTGCTGGAAATTCAGTTTGGGCGGTTTGGTGTAAAAAACATGGAGAACTTAGTTAACAACTGTGGCCATGCACTCTAGTTCCCAGAAGCAGTGATGTCATTTAAATAGGAACAGGGGTGCATCAGGGTGGGGAGGCATGGAGGAGAGAGTCTGTGTGGAGTGATGAATCGGGGCTGTCTTTGGGAGTGTGTGTGCATTTCTCTAGAAACCGTGGTCCTCTGTGCAAAGCACGACCCAAGGATCAGTGTTCTAGAAACCAAATTCCATCCCCGCTGCACACTCGACATCAGTCAACACTTTCATGCTTCATCACAGCTATACCTGAAGGTTTGTTTAATATCCCCAGTCCTCAGATTGGAGAGGGTGGAGAAATGAACTCTCAATTTCCTGAATGGAAAAGGCAAATGTGAACTCAGGAATGGGTGAAAGGTTGATGTGATGGGCTGCTACTCTGCAGGCCTTGCTTGGCCCTGATGTAACTCATCACCACACCAGGGAGTGCCAGCATCTGTGTGTGCATGGGGAAGGATGACAGCCTAGAGAGGTCCCAAACGCTAGCCATGAATACAGGATGTTGCCAGTGATGATGAAAGGCAAGGTAGCAGTACAGTGGACTTTGGGGTGGTCATTAATGTGAAACACACATGGGGAGTCACAGGCTTTTGGCTGCAGTGGTGGGGTCATTTCTCAGCTCCTGTTCAAAAGCAGAGAATAATCAGGGACATGTCCTATTGTATTTAAAAATATGATTGGACCCAGTGGGGAGGCTCATGCCTGTAATCCTAGCACTTTGGGAGGTTGAGGCAGGAGGATCACTTGAGCCCAGGAGTTTAAGATCAGCCTGGGCAACACGGTAAAAACCACATCTTTACAAAAAGTACAAAAATTAGTCAGGTGTGGTGACGTGCTCCTGAAGTCCCAGTTCCTCAGGAGTCTGAGGCTAGAGGATTGCTTTGGCCAGACAGGTTGAGTCTTCACTGAGCCATGATTGTGCCACTGCACTCCATCTGGGCAACAGAGTGAGATCCTGTCACAGAAAAACAAACCAAACCAAAAGAAAAATCATGATGACCACAGCCTTAGAAATGCTCCAGCTTAGTAACACAGACACCAAGAGACAGGGTGTTAGCTTGGTGCCCACCTTCCCTCTGGAATCTCTAACAGCTGGGTTAGAGAGGGTCAGCACCCCCACGTTCTGCCCCCATGACAGGCTGTCCCAGCGTTGAAGCCAGTGTGAGTGTGAGCAGTAACGGACTCTGCAGACACACACACATGGTGTATGGAAAACAGAGTGGAAGGACAGATAGCACGTGCTAAATAGGGGTCATCTTTAAATGGGAGGAAAACAGATTTTCAAAGATTTGTTTCATTGTCCTAAAAACAAATGGTTAGTGAATAAATAGAGTATTTTGGTTAGAATTAAATATTCTCTTTAAAGAAAGATTGCATTTTAACTCAATTTTGTTTTTCTCTCTTGGGTGGATTCTAGAGATGAAATGACTTTGGAAGGACCCAGGAAGGGAGGGCAAGTGAGTTCAGGTCAGATTAGGAGGCAGGAGCCCTGAGAGGCTGCAGGGACACACAGCCTGCCCTGGGTGCTGTGCTCTGTTCAAGATGAACTATTTGCCGTTGATGAGGCAGTCAGGGCTAGAAAATATTTCTTCCCTGCTCATCCCCGCACCTGCTAACAGTCACTCTGTGTCCTCCCAGCTGACTGGATTGCATCATTAAAGGGTCACCTCACCGACAGAACATCAAGTGGGGAAGCCTCATCATCTGTTAAGGTCAGGCCACCTGGCTTTGTCTGACAAAAAGTTACTTTCTTAACTTTATCTAACTGAATTAAAATAAGATATGATTATATGTATTATAGCTGACTTATACAGTGTCTTTGGTGGGGACAATTTCGAGTGAGAGTGTTCCTCACTGAGGCTCAATGTTAGACAGGAGGAGAAAATGGCAGCATCAGCCACGCACTGAGTGGCTGTGACCTTTTTCCTTAGCAACTTGATTATCTCCTTGGAACAAAGTCACTTAATTGTCAAGCAGCATGGACTTAGAGGAAACACCCTCCAAGAAAAACTTGTGTCGTTAGCATGAGTGGGTTTGTCCTGTTCTTCTTTTGGGTTCCTTTGAGTTGAGCACCTTTTGCCATCTGATTCCTAGTGTCAACAACTGAGGAAAAGACCTGTGCACACAGGACACAGCATGGGCTGGTGCTCAGGCAATATGTTTTCTGTCATTACAGGAGGCCACAGGAGGCCGGAAAAGGGGTACGTATGGGGGAATCCTCCCGTGTGGATGAATAATCCAGATGATGAGGAACGTGTGTCTCGCTGGCTTTCCTGTACACAGGCAGCCGGAGTTGAGCTTCCTGTTGTGAATGAGGACCTAGGCCGTGATGGGAGAAGTGGCTGTTCCAGATAAGGATCGATGGGCACATTCTGCGGTCCCTGAGAGCAGCAGCATTCTCTGTCTATGGGGTGGGGTTCTGTGCACGGGAGTGGTGTGTGTCTGTGAATGTGTGTAGTGTGACCCTGACTGTGCCTGGCTGTGTGTGGGTTTCCCTAGGTACATGTCTCTCCCTTATTAGTGTCCACATTCTTAGTGAAAAATGCCTCACTCTTGTAGCCTGACAAGAGCATAGGTAATTATTAGTGAAGATGTCAGCTTACAACGTGCGTAGTTTATGCATGCAAAGGACACTTCAGTTACCCAAAGGAAATCCTGTCCACACCTAAGCAAATGTTCATTGGGTGCTAATGGAACAAACCTGTCTCAGGATCCTTACTCATTCATTATTTTTTCATTGGGAATCTGCTTCTAAACCTCATTTTCAATAAATGTCACCTGGTAACAGGACTTCCTGTTGCTCCTGGCATTGGAGTGATCGTGACATCTCACTGCGGCCACTTCCCTCCTTCACAAGCCTTTTCTTTTTTTTCTTTTCGTTTGTTTTGTTTTGTTCTTTTGAGATGGAGTTTCGCTCTTGTTACCCAGGCTGGAGTGCAATGGCACAATCCTGGCTCACCGCAACCTCTGCCTCCTGGGTTCAGGCAATTCTCCTGCCTCAGCCTCCTGAGTAGCTGGGATTACAGGCACACACCACCTTGCCCAGCTAATTTTTTGTATTTTTAGTAGAGATGGGGTTTCACCATGTTGACCAGGATGGTCTCGATCTGTTGATCTCGTGATCCACCCGCCTCAGCCTCCTGAGTAGCTGGGATTACAGGCACACACCACCGTGCCCAGCTAATTTTTTGTATTTTTAGTAGAGATGGGGTTTCACCATGTTGACCAGGATGGTCTCGATCTGTTGATCTCGTGATCCACCCGCCTCGGCCTCCCAAAGTGCTGGGATTACAGGCTTGAGCCACCGCGCCTGGCCCCTTCACAAGCCTTTTCTACCCAAGCCCTCAGAATTGATCCTCCATGACTGGTCTTCAGCATGCAGAGTGGGGCGGGGATCCTTCCTGTGCAGGGAGACCCTGAGGCAGCCCCCTGCTATGACCAGTTTTGGTAGGAGACTGAGAAAAGAGGAGCCTGCACGCAGGGTTGGGGTAAAATCACACGACTCTCCATTGTGGCCTCATATTGACCATCAGCTAATGTGGCCCAGAATAGACAATGCCGGGGCAATGTAGAGGCCCAGCCTCCAGCACTCAGCCCAGTCATGGTTTCTGTGTGCTCGGCTCAGGGAACACAGCAAGAGGACAAGGGGACCAAGGGCTTTGCCCCAGGGCCTGAGAGGTAGGGTGAGCCCTTGCCTTCCTCCTGGCAGGATGTGGGAGGCTGAGGCATGAGGTGGGAAAGACAGACTCGGCTGCAGGACGGCAGAGGCTCCACGATGCTTCTCCCGTTACACCCACTGTTGACAAATGTTCTTCTTTGCCACAGAGCCCTGTGAAAAACAAGTCAAGGTGGTTGATTTCAGTCCACATGAATATAAAATGAGCCAAATTATGGTTTGAGAATAATTTTTTCGGATTGTGCATTTGGTAGAAACGTATCGTATGCAATTTGCATTGCTGTGTAGGTGACAGTACTTTCGTACTTTTCAATATAATGAGGCCATGTGATTTTAAAATGTGCCTTGTTTCCCTCGAAAGTATGTCCTCAGAACCAAATTCCCCTAGTCATCTTTAATCTCTAGAGCATAGTTTTTGTGTGACACCTTGGTGGCCTTCTACTGTGTGCGATTAAAGGTACAAATCACTGTTACCAACATTGAGGTTCTAAAAATTCATGGTGAGCTGCACAGTGTGCTCCATGAGAGAGCCGGGCACAGCCTTGGCCTTGGCCTCAAAAGTAACATGATTCAGAGGAGCAGGAAGAAGACATGAGGACATCCATGCCATGGAGGCAGCCAAGGTTGAAAGGCCGGGAGAGATAGTTCAATGTCATGCCCTGGGTGCAGCCAGGATGTTCGGGCCCCATCTGATGGGGAAGGAGCAGAGCTTGGACTTCAGGGCTGGCGTGAGCACTGCCCAGCCACTGTTCTATGAGCCTGGAGAGAGGAGCCGCTGTTTCATTTGTCTTCTTCACCTTTCTGTGTTGATGGCAATAACAGAATCAGAAGTTAGTGAGAGGCAAAGAACAGGAGGGAGTTCCCAAGATATCTGACTTAGATGAGAGGATATGATGAGCAGGGGTGGACATCAGGGTCGGGTCAGACGTAGCACCATCCCCAGGCCTGCTATCCCTGTGACTGGGACAGAGAACAGCATTTACTTTTCCCCAGCTTCTGGAAGTTGCCTGACAGCTGGTCCTTGTGTAGATGCTGTTGGTCAAGGTTGGTTTATCCCAGAATCCCATTTAACCAAAGGAAGCCTCACAGCCCCTGGCCAGGGCAGCTGCTTCACACTAGTTGCAGCAGAGGTGGGAGGGGAGCCAGATCCAGTGCAGGGTGAGCTCAGAAAAGGGAGGGGCTGCCCCAGAGCCCAGGTGTTCCTGCACATCTCCCTTCTGACCCATAAGGCATCGCTTTGCCGGTTTCTCTGAGATAGGCTTGGAATCATCTGTCTCACAGTCTGTGACCTGCCATCATGGGTGGAAGGATGCTGGCCCTGGCTGGTCACTGTCAGGGCAGGGACTCTGTCCTTTTTCTTCCTTCTCATCCCAGAGCTTAGCCCTGGGCAGCCCATCTTGGGGGCCCCAGTGATGTTCTCATGCACACAGCCCTGTGCTGAGAAAGCACAAGTGTGAAAAGTCTTCCTGCTCACCCTCTGCAGTCTGCTGAGTCCCACATGAATGCAGGTTCCTGTGTGGGTTCTGATTCAGGGTCAGGGAGAAGTGCGTGGGCTCCCCTCCGTGTTTGCTGCTGTTGTCCCATCTGCTCCTGAAGTCTGCAACTAAGGATTAAAATAATAAATATTGTGAATAGCTCACCATCATGGCTTAAAGTCCAATAAAATGGATGTTAACTGCCGTAGGAGCATAGGTTTATTTAGGAAAGTTAAGTGATACAGTAACCTTTTTATAAAAAAGAGGATACTTACCAGGCCTCTTTCTGTGTGGAGACCCTGTCCTGGAGACATGCCGTGCACTTATATGCTGCCTCTGTGAACACTGCCTATGTCACAGTGATGAGGGTGGCTTAGCCAGAGACCCGAGGCTCTGTCCCCCAGGGCTCTCCTGATGGTGTCCTTTGCCTTCCTTCACCACCAAGGAGGGTGGCCCAGCGGCAGCTCAGCCCCTGCTCTTACCCCACCTCCTTCGTACACCAGCCCTGTGTCCTCAGCACCCAGGGCTGCCAGAGGGCCTTCAGCAGCTCCCACGGCTGACCGTGACTCTGTGTTTCCTAGATTTCAAAAAGGAAGTGGCAGGAATGTTCGGCGTGATGAGCCCAGAAGCTGCCGTAGCTCTTTATTGGGTAAAGTCCTTATTCTTTGTCTGAGATGGGAATTTTATTTCTCTTGGTTTCTTTCCACTTCATTTGAATTATGTCACGCAAATCTCACCATGGAAATTATAGATGAATTGCAGAATTTCTTGGTGGGCAAATGTAAGTAAGAGTCCATTACCAACAAAGAACTGGTTCAAGACGGCACCCACAGATGACAGCTTTAGTGACAAACATGGCAGAGCATTTTCCTCATGGGAAATGCATATTTTTATAAAATCATGGTGACTCTGCAACTAACATCATTTTGAAAATCTTCATGAAACTTTTGTACCTTTCCACAAGTGTCCTTTAGGCTTTATTTTCTGGCCATGGCCTCAAGCACTGTTTCCTTTCTGAGTGTTTAATGTAATCATGTAAACAAAAGACCTGTGCACACAGGACACAGCACGGTCTGATGCTCACATTGTTTTCCTTTCTCTCTGCAGAGAAACGCATCTTTGGAAAGTGGTACATACTCTGGGTTCATCCCTTTGCTAAGGAAATATCATAGTGTTGAGAAACTGACACTTTTCTCCCTGCTGTGGCTGGAGAGCCACCCTAGTGTGACATTCCTGCTGGAAATGAGGTTTGGACAATTTGGTGTAAGAAAAATGAAAAGTTTAGTCAACACCTGTGGCCATCCACTCTAGTTCCCAGAAGCAGTGATGTCATTTAAAAAGGAACAGGGTTGCATCAGGGTGGGGAGGCATGAAGAAGAGAGTCTGTGTGGAGTGATGGGGAATGTCTATGGGAGTGTGTGTGTGTGAATTTCTCTAGAAAGGGTGTTCCCCTGTTCAAAGCACAACATTAGAATGAATGTTCTAGAAACAAACCTCCATCCCCACTGGACACATCACGTTAGTCAACACTCATACTTTGCCATAGCTGTACAGGGAGGGGAGTTGAACATGCTGAGTCCTGAGATGGGAAAAGGTGGAGAGATTAATTATCCGGGCTGTCAATTTCCTGAATGAAAAAGGCAAAGTGATCTCAGGAATGGGTGGTGAAGAGTGGAAGGACGGGCTGAAACTCTGCATTAATCAGACAGCCCTGTTGGAAGTTCTCACCACGCCAGGAAGTTTGAGCATGTGTGTGTATATAAAAATAGGATATAGCCTTAAAGAACAGTTAGTGAATAAATAAAATGTTTTGATTACCAGTCTTCTTTTTAAAGAAAGGCTGCTTGCTATTTTGTAGAAAACCTCTAAAAGAAATGATATTCACAGAAGCACCAGAGGTGTGTTCTTGGGAGGAAATAAGCTTGGAAAAACTCAGGAAGAAGGGGCGAATAAGCTCAGGTCAGATGAGAGGGTAGGAGACTGAAGAGCCTGCAGGGACACAGAGCCTGCCCTGGGTGCTGTGCCCTGTTTGAGATGGGTTATTTCACGTTGATGAGGTGACCTGGGGCAAGAAAACCTCTCTTAACTGCTCCTCCACTGCACCTGCTGAAAGTCACTCTGTGTCCTTTTACTTCCAACAGAAATTAAAGTGGTGGAAAAATACCATGCAAGATTCTTCCCTGAGAAGGAGCCACCACAAGCGAAGGACAGTCCACATGGGTTGGTTGGAGAAAAGGCTTCTTAACTTTATCCTTTTGAATTTCAGTAAGGTAGGAGAATCTGACCCTATGTGTCATAGGTGATTTATACAGTGTCTTTGGTGGGGAGAATTCTGAGTGAGAGTCTGTTCCCCACTGAGGCTTGATTTAAGACAGGAGGAGAAAATGGCAGCACCAGCCACGCACTTAGTGACAGTGAGCTTCCTCCTCTGCAGCTTGATTCCGTGCTTGGGGCAGAATCACTTCACTGCCAAGTCACAGGACCTTGAGAGGGAATATCCTGCGAGAACGACGTTAGCGTGAGTCAGTTGTCCTGTTCTTCTTCTGTGTTCCTCTGACTTGGACACTCTTTCCCATCTGGTCTTCTAATGTCAACAATGAAGACCTGTACACTCAAGCCTCAGGATGGTCTGAAGCTCACGGTGTTTTCCTTTCTGTCCATGCAGGCAGAGGAACCCTCCAAGGAAAAAGGTGTGTATTCTGGGAGCACTCCTCCGCTCAGGAAAGATCTTGAGTGTGGCAACAGGTGGCACTTACTCTCCTGCTTTTGCTGGAGGGCTGCTTTGGTTTGAGCTTCCTGACAGAAAGGAGATAGGGGCAGTTTGGTTTAAAAAATGCTCAGTCCATCCAGTAAAGAACCGTGACCATCCTCTCGAGTCCCTGGAGGCGGAACTGCCATTTAGATGGAATAGGGTGGTGTGCCTCAGGGCGGTGAGGTATGGAGGAGACAGCCCTGTGGAGTGATTGGGAATGTCTTTGGGAGTGTATGCGCGTTTTCCCAGAAAATTCAGAAAGACTGTCTAAAACACTGAATTGCTACTGCACATGTCACCTAAATTCACCCATTCATCCTCCACCACGGCTGTACCTGAAGGTAAATGTCATATCCTCACTCCTCAGACAGAGATGGTGCAGAGATGGATTTCCCAGGCTCTCAGTCTCCCAAATGGAAGAAGCAAATGTGAACTCCGGAAATGGGAGGAGGGTTGATGCAGTGGGTCACCAGGCGGCCCTGGTAGAACTCGTCGTTATGCCAGGCAGTTCTGGCATCTGTCTGTGCATGTGGAAGGATAAGAGTCCTGAGAGGTCCCAAACACTGTCTGTCATTTTAGGGAAGTCTCAAGGGCTGCCTGACGCAGGGTATCAGGAGGTACATGTTATGCTGGACTTTTCTTTTTTTTTTTTTTGTTTTGTTTTGTTTTTTTTCTTGAGACGGAGTTTCACTCTTGTTACCCAGGCTGGAGTGCAATGGCATGATCTGGGCTCACTGCAACTTTGCCTTCTGGGTTCAGGCAATTCTCCTGCCTCAGCCTCCCGAGTAGCTGGGACTACAGGCTCGCACCACCATGCCCAGCTAATTTTTGTATTTTTCTTAGAGACAGGGTTTCACCATGTTGACCAGGATGGTCTTGATCTCTTGACCTCGTGATCCACCCGCCTCGGCCTCCCAAAGTGCTGGGATTATAGGTGTGAGCCACCGCGCCCGGCCAAGATATATAAATTTCTTCATTTCTTCTCCAGGCCCATGAATTCTGGGCCCTCAAACCATACATGAATATCAACTTGCAGCCAGAGCTCCCTTGTAAAGGTGTTGAGCTTGCTTGTATTACCCTCACTTGACGCACACTCTGCTCTGAGACACACATGGCTTCTCCCCCTGCCTGGGTTACAGAACTCTCTTGTGTGCTCAGTCTGCTCTTAGGACCTCACAGAAGAAGAGGAGTCCTGCCCGCACCAGTGTGAGTGCCTGTGCCTGGACTGCTTGTCTTCAGCTTCCCTGGGCTGGCTCCTTCTGGGACACTTTCCTCCATTCTTCCCAGACATCTTATAAACAGCGTTCCAGTAGCACCATGGCTGCTCACACCCATGGGCTGTGCACGTGGCATTGTGATCGTCTCTCTCCTTGTCTATATTTTTGGGAGCATAAGCTCTAAAGGTGAGAATATCATTCATATCCTCAGCACCTAGCTCAGTCTTTTGGGCAAAGGAAATATGTAGAAAACACTTGCCAAAATAATTAGATACAAGGACCTTTAATTTGGATTTCTTTCTCTGTTAGGATATGGAAAATATTTGTGCCATTTGGACCTCAGTGTGAAGTGGTGTTAAAAGGTGAAGTCCGGTCTAGCCAGCATTTGGTGTCACTCTCACTGTTACTGTGGGGAGCCCTGTTCTGAAGGTGAGAACTTGTAAATGAGTCTTTGTCATACTTGGCATCTTTCTCTCCAGCCCCCATGTCCCCCTTCCTGGTCAGAGTGTGGGATGGAGGCAGATGGATTGATTCTGGAGTCTAGGGTGTGTTCAGCTGATGTCGGTGTCTCCTGTGAGCTTAAAAGGACTGTCTCTCAGATGCAGAGCTCTTATGTGTACTTGGCTCTGGTTTATTTCTCTGTAGTTCCAATCTTCGGAATCATTACTCACATTTTTCTTTGCTTAGCCTTTGAGCTTCTGAGAGATGGCTGTAGATCAGAAATTTCTCTTACAGGGAGAATTACGCATCCTACCATTTTTTTCTTGGGTATTACGCAGCTATATTGTTACATATGTTTAGGCTTAGGATTGTTTTGCTTTCTATGTGGAATGGTTCCTTTTAAGAATTCTTGGCCAGGCTTGGCAGCTCATGCCTGTAATTCCAGCACTTAGGGAGGCCTGATAGGGAGGACCACTTCATTCAGGCCAGGAGCTTTAGATCAGCCTGGGCAACCCAGTGAGACTCTGTCTCTAAAAAAGTTTTGGAAAATCAGCCAGTTGTGGTGGCCCAGGAGGTCCAGGCTGGAGTGAGCTATGGTTGTGCTGCTGCACTCCAGGAATGGTGACAGAACAAGACTCTGACCCTAAAAAATTTTAAAACTCATAAAATAGGGTTGGGCGCGGTGGCTCATGCCTGCAATTCCAGCACTTTGGGAGGCTGAGGTGGGCAGATCACTAGGTCAGGAGATGAAAATCAGCCTTGCCAATATGGTGAAACCCCGTCCCTACTAAAAATATAAAAAATTAGTCAGGTTTGGTGGCACATGCCTGTAGTCCCAGCTACTTGGGAGGCTGAGGCAGGAGAATCACTTGAACCCAGGAGGCAGAGGTTGCAGAGAGTCAGGATTGTGCCACTGCACTCCAGCCTGGGTGACAGAGTAAGGCTCCATCTCAAAACAAAAAAAAAAGAAAGAAAGAAAAGGAAAGATAATGCACAATATTAACACCAGAAAAAATTGACTCTAAGACAAAAGAGATAAAAAGAATTATTTTTTATATATTTTATTACTTTTTTTTTGTTTGAGACAGAGTCTTACTCTGTCACCCAGGCTGGAGTGAAGTGGTACGATCTCGGCTCACTGCAACTTCTGCCTCCCGGTTTCAAGTGATTCTTCTGCCTCAGCCCCCTGAGTAGCTGGGATTACAAGTGTTCACCACCACGCCTGGCTAATTTTTGTATTTTTAGTAGAGAGAGGATTTTGTCATGTTGGCCAGGCTGGTCTCTAACTCCTGAACTCAGGTGATCCACCTGCCTCAGCTGGGATTTCGGGCCTGAGCCACTGCACCCGCGGGTGTTTCCATTTCTACTCACCACACATTGCTTACCCAAATCTAAAGTGAATCCCGAGCTCTGTTCTGTTCTCAAGCAACACAGTCGCTTTCTTCATTTAAATGCTCATCTTTTCCTTCCATATTACCTTTGACCAATATTTCAGTTATAAACATTTTTTGAAACCCCAACATTAAAAAGATTTTAGAGATTGATCAAGCTATTGATACTTCTTTGTGCTCACCATTGCTGCATGAATCTTCTGCCTTTTCCTCTCTAATAGACTTCATGGTCTGGATTAAAACCAACTCATTGTGTGGTTTATTCAGATTTCTGTTTCTTGAGGCACTAATGTTTCCACCAGTTACTTTTGTTGATTCTTCCTGACTTTCTTTGAGTGGATTCCATTTTTTAAATATATATTTAAAATTGTTTCATGCAAGCTCACATTGATTGAGGCTGCTTTTTTGCTCTAGGAATCCCGTGTGTCCTTGTCTTTGGAAATGTCCCTAGAAAGCCTTTTGCAGAAATGCTGGAGGCACTGAAAACCTTGATTTTCAGCCTGGGGCTCCCATGCCTGGTGGGGCTAGGCCCAGGCTTTCCACTCCTATTAACAATCTTCGATGCCACCCACCTCTGGACAGGCTCGTTGTTACCCTCACAGACATGCCGCCAGACTTTTTTTCAGTTTTCTTTTTATTTCTAGAAAGGGCACTTCTTTGAATTTTTGGGCTTTGTATAGGATTCAAATTTTATTTTAGCCTCATCCTGTCCACAACAAGCATGAAGTCACATTGATTGTTCTTTGGAAGGTATTAAAGCTTTACCACCTTGAGGGTGAATCTGGACCCCAGACTTTTCTGGCCTTTATGCAAGTCAGCTTTCTCTTGCCAGGTGGCCTTTCAGTTCCCTTTATTTTATGGTTGAATAGGGCAAAGCAAAATGTGTGTGTGTGAAATCTATTCAGCCCTCTGTATCTGTGCATCCGGCATCCTCACGCTCTACCAAGCTCGGATCAAAAATATCGATGCCCCTCCCATAAAAAAGACGGCTGCATTTGTACTGAACATGTACAGGCATTTCTTCCTTGCTCTTATTCTCTACATGATAATGTACAACAACTATTTGCGTAGCATTTATTCTCTATTTGGTATTATGAGTAATCTAGGAATGATTCGAAGTATGAAGGAGGATGTGCCTAGGCTGCACACAAGCACGGTGCCATTTCATGTCAGGGACTTGCACGGATGATGATGTCCAGTGGGATTCCCATATCTTCAAATATTTCCACATGTGGGGGCCTCAGCGGTCTCAGTTATGTTGGTCACCTCTGATAAAGGAATTCAGTTCCTCATGATCATAGACACTTGTTTTAACTTTGTCTATTATGATATAATTTTAAACATTTTAAAATAAAATCTGAAAATGCCAAGATATTAGTGATTTTTTTGAAGGGAATGAAGAAGTCGTTATTCTAATAGTAGAACTCGTTGTTAAAACTTCCTGACAATAGAAAGGAGGTCTGTATAATCCATGCACTTGTCACTTTATCTGAAGATCAGTCTCTTCCAGGCTGCAGCAGCTTCATTCTCTGGCCTATTTAGGTGTAGAGATGACCTCAAAAAAAGAATTTAACATTTATCTTTGTAGAAAGTAAGCAAGTGGAAAGTTCTCCTTAATCCTGCCTTTTTTTTTTTTGCGGTGGGGAGGATGGAGTCTTCGTTCTGTTGCCCAGGCTGGCGTGCAATGGTGTGATCTCAGCTCACTGCGACCTCTGCCTCCTGGGTTCAAGTGATTCTCCTGCATCAGCCTCCAGAGTAGCTGGATTACAGGCACACACCACCAGGCCCACCTAATTTTTGTATTTTTAGTAGAGACTGTGTTTCACCAGGTTGGCCAGGCTGGTCTTAAACTCCTGAATCCTGACTCTTAATTTGTGGCTAGAAATGGCAGTAATATGAACATAAGTAGTGCTATTTATTAATATATTGCTTTTCATAAATCACTTCCTTTTTTGTAATTAGGTAGAAACAGAACAGAAAGATATTCTTGATTTTGGTGACTGAAGTTGTGAAGGATGGAAGTCTCTGCCAAGAAAACCAATGAATCAGACATACAGCACTGTACAAATCAAGCTGATTCTCGGTGTTGTGAGTACAAATGTTCAGTGAAAAATACTTTTCCCAGAATACGTCATTTCTATGAACTGAAATGTTTTTGTTAAAGATTTGTTAGCACATTTCACATTCTTACTGCTATTGGCTTTATTGAAACTCAGTCTTCTCTTTCTGAACAGAACACCGTGGTCTGGCAGGGTCTGACATTTTCCAAGGAACCCAGCTGAGCTCCTGTGGGAGCTGCTTCCTGCACTGAGTGGTCCCTTGGCTGGCAGGCTGCTTTGTGGTCAACCACGTGATACCGGCCATTTATGAGGGACAGGTAGGAGAGGGTGGGCTTTCCATTAAAAAAAAAGATAAGGTTTTCCAAACTGCTTTTCTTTCATTCATATTTAAAACTTAATACTAGTACATATTAATTTTTTTCTCATAAGGTCCAGAATTTCTGATAATTTCAGATATTTTCCAGAAGGAACTTGGCTCTTTAGATATCATGTTTATATTTTCTGGAAATTGCTTTTCTCTATATCTAAATACAATACAAATTTGAGACTGACTTCCTCTGTCAGTGAGTGTGAATGCTTCCAGTCATCTGTCAAGTATCTAATGTTCTGACAATGAGGCAGAGAGCCTGCTGTTTTGGGTCAAACCTAGGTGAACGTGCATGAGCACAGCAAGTACCACTGAAGACCTATTGGGATACTTTCTCTACATTGATCTCATCTCACTTGCCAGTTGATTGTGCTCTTGCTTTTTCTGCTTCTGCACTAATATCCAGTCCTCTTTTAATTCTTTAAAAAATCTTCTTGCCTACATTTTTGTGTGGCCCCTAATGGCATTATATTGGAGTGCTGATGGCATGTACAATTCAATAACTCTCTGTTCTCTGAACTAAAAGAATAACTTTTTTTTTTTTTCTAGAAAAAGTTGGCAGAAGAAATGGCCTTTTTTAATTTTAAAGGTTCAGAACTCAGGAGGAGACTTCGTGGCAAGAGTTGACATAGAAGTTGACAGCCCAAAACCTACACCAGTTCTGAGAAGTGTTGATATCCAAGAAAGCACAGAAAGAGTTAAAATTCATGCTCCCAGGGACTTACAGTTCCCCTCAGTCCTGTCCTCTGCCATCAGTGTCTTGCATTCAGACTGATGTCACTTTAATGGTGACAGATTGTTGAACGTCTGTCTCGCTCCATCTTCTAGATGATGCATTTGGTGGCCATCTTGGCCTCATCCATAAGGAAGCCCTTACCTCTGAGAAATGCTGGAAACATCAAAGTTTAAATAATCAACATATGGATTTTATGAATTTCTGTCAGAGCACCATCAACTAGTCTTTCCTGAGACTGTGAGAGTTCCCTGCCTTCTGAGGGCCCTGGTGCTGCCTGTCCCTTCAGGGTGCCCTGAGGAGCAGATGATGGCATTGCTGAGAGTTTGAAAAGCTGGATGTTTCTCTAGCCTGAAGTGTACGTATGCTATGGTGCTCTCAGCGTAGAGCCCAATGTCTTGAATATGAAAACCAAGTGCTGAATTGATTTTTGAAAAATGTGCATGTCAGCCTGTGGTTGGAGTTGAGAAAGAGCAACCCACACACTTCGACCTCTTTCTGTGACATGAAGGTGCATGAGAGGGTGTTAGTGACATGAAATTGGGGGTGCAGTTTGTGGGAGATCAGGTTTGTTATGGAAGAAAAGGATGGAAAAGAGGTGCTTTCCAAGGGAACAGGATGAGTTGAGACTGTGATGGACTAGGAGACAGGGAAAAATCAGCTCTCCTAGTAAATGAGGAAGGAACCTAAGGCAGGAGTCACTGAGTGAGAGCTGCATTTTTGTAAGTCAGCATTGAATTATGATTCTGTCACTATTTAGGTTCCAGAATGAGGAAGTCCCTCTTAGTGGATCTAGAGACTCTATCTGTTAAACCTGGAGAGGAACATGAGCTTACAGTTTTCTGCTTCTCCAAAGGCTCACAAAGTTTGGGAGAAAGGGTAACATAAATAGTTTATCATGACGAGGTTTTACTCATCTCTCAAAACAGCCATTCACTTGGATGTGCTTCAAGATCCACAATTTGAATGACAAAGTCCACATCTTACTTTCACTAATAGATGCTATGAATCAGTGTAAACTCTTTAATTTAGCTTCAGATTTTCTTCTTTTTGTGACTGAGAATCTCCTTTGAAACCAGCTGAGTAGATATTAAGACATCATTATTTTAAAGTATATTCTGACAAAAGTAAATAATGAAACAATATTGATTTTTCTCATTCATTTTTTGTTTTCTTTCTTTCTTCTTTTTTTTTTTGAGACAGAGTCTCACTCTGCTGCCCAGGCTGAGTGCAGTGGCATGATCTTGGCTTACTGTAACCTCCACCTCCTGGATTCAAAAATTTTTCTGCCTCAGCCTCCCAAGTAGCTGAGACTAAAGGCGCGCACCACGATGCCCAGCTAATTTCTGTATTTTTAGTAGAGACGGTGTTTTACACATTGGCCAGGCTGGTCTCAAACTCCTGACCTCGTAATCCACCCGCCTTGGCCTACCAAAGTGCTGGGATTACAGGCATGAACTACCATGCCCAGCTTCTCATTCACTTTTCTTATTCTTCCAGAAGCTACTAGTTGATTTTGTCAGCTGTTGAGCTATATTTCTTCATGTCTTCTGTGGACCCATGAATTCTGGGCTTCCAAATCCTAAGTGAATATCAACTTAACAGCCAGAGCTCCCCTGTCGAGAGTATCAATCTTGCTTGTGTGACCCTTGCTTAAAGGGCACTCTCCTCTGAGTCACACGTGGCTTATCCTCCTGCCTGGGTTACAGAACACGCTTGTGTGCTCAGTCTGCTATTAGGACCTTACAGAAGGAGAGAAGAGTCCTGCCTGCACCAGTCTGAGTGAATGCCTGTGCCTGGACTGCTAGTCCTCAACTTCCCTGGGCTGGCTCCTTCTGGGAGGCTTTCCTCTACTCTTCCCAGATTTCTCATGAGTAGCATGCTTGTAACACCAGGGCTGCTCACATCCGCTGTGCAGATGGTATTGCGATCGTCTCTCTCCTTCCCTATATTCTTCTCTGAAGCATAAGCTCTAAGGGTGGGAATACTATTGTATTCCTTAGCTTAGTCTTTTGGACAAAGGAAATACAGGAAATAGTTGACAAAAGAATTGAATTTAGAATCTTCAACTCAGACTTTCTTTCTCTGTTAGGATCTAAAAAATGTTTGCGCAGCCATTTGGACCTCAGTGTGAAGTGGTGATAAAAGGTGAAGTCCATTCTTCAGGAAGTAAACCTCTGCCACGTGGATCATGCCCAGACAGTCTACTGATTTTGTCCAACAGTTTCTTGCTTTGGAAGGTGTCCTTCTTGGTGGAACACAGTAAGTGTCAAAGACAGACAAATAGTCCACTCTGTACAGGTATTGGAGAAGATCACAAATTAATGTTTGGAGGACAATTTTGTTGTAACAGACACCGATGAAGCTCCATTGTAAAGAACTGGAAAAGCCTAGATGTGCATGTGTCTAGATTCGGCCTTTGTTTAACATATATTCCAATCCTGATTCTGCCTTCACCAGCTGCAAAGAGCACCTGACACATGACCACAACACAGGAGCTGCTGAAGAGGGAGTTTTATCACCTCAAACTCATGGCCACTTGGTATTTTCAAAAGCCAGCCAAGAGAGATATTTGCAGAGAACTGTGCAGAAAACATGCAGCCCACTCAGCCTCTCAGTGAGCTACATTTCTCAATCAGTCACCCCATGAGTTAGCAAAACCCACAGAAGTGGATTTGAGGCACTGGCCTTACGTGTCACACTTCCTGACCATACCAGATGGAGCACCTCAAAGGAGCAGACCCTAGGAAATGGGATTTAGTATTTACTGTAAAATTGGGTTTTTGAGACTCCCCATATTATACAAATTCATCTTGAAAAGGACCTCTGGAAGGAGCAGCTCTCAAAAGCCTGTGGCAGGAATAGTTCCCCTTCCCTCAAGCAGCAGCTAGTTAGTTCTTAACCTCTGAGGACATTTAACTGATTATCTGACTCTACGGAAGCCCGGCCTCTCCCGTTTCCACTTGGTAATGCTACTACTTTAAAATAATGACCACAGTTTTTTACACAGTAAAAAGTAAACAAATAAAAATGAAAACTGTGAGCAATGTTTCTTTCAGGTTGTCTTTTCCAGTCATTGTACCTGTGGAAGGCTTTGCCGGAGGTGCCAGTAGCCAAGGGTCTCAGCTTTCTCTTTTAATACAAGGCAGAGGAGGCATGGACACACAGCTTAAATAATTTATTAGCTGCTGACTTTCCCAAAATTTGAGTAAGACCCTTCTTTTAACAGACAAAATGTAGATGAGATGGCAACGTAATTCACAGAAAAACAGTGTCTCTTCTTTTTTGAGGTTGTTAGGGCCTTGTGGAACTCAGCTGGTCATACCTATCTTATAAGTGGACTGGAAGGTGTACATGGGGTCATCTTTATCCCCTGGGATGTATCCTCACCAAATTGGACTGTCTTCGATCTAACTGGGAAACTGTAAAGGCTCGCTCTAGAAGCCATCTGCTTCTACCAGATGGCTATACTTTCTTCACAGGCAGCCACAATCAATGTTGAAGCCTTGGCCACACACACGGCTGCAGCTTTGAATAACATGCACCATGCCCTTACCCTCCTGAGGACACCTCTCAGATTAGGCAGGTGGCCTAAACAAACTGTACGGCAAAGCCATTTTAACAGCAGCTCAAGGGGGAACTTGTGCTTTGATCAAAACCAAATGTTGCATGCTCCAGACTATTCACACAATATTACCCCAGCTAAGAAAGCTTTAGACACTCATATGTCTGCCATTGATGTGCTGTCAGTCACCTCCATTATTGACTTGGTTCCAACAACTGCCCGGTTTTTGGAAAGCCTTCCTGTTAGTTTACCTGGGATAATCTTACCTGTTTTGCTTTGCTGTTGTTGAATATATTGTGGTTGTACTCTTTGTGTAGAAACACAGGATAAGCTTACTCAATACTTCTTAAATTGGACACCTCTTAATCTTCCAGGTTTCACCTTTTGCTGGAACACAGAGATACAAATGACGCTTAACATACCAACACTTTCTGACTGAGCTCCTCTCTACCCTGAATACAAGAGACCCTAATAGATATGTGGAAATATCATCACCCCTGTTCAGCATGAAATTACAGAAGACAGACCTTCATCCTTCTGCAACCCTTAGAATTAAGGGTCCTCTTCTAAAAGGGTGGGGGGGATATGTTAGAAGCATCAAACCAGAGTGACTCTATTTTCAATAAGGGCCAAGAAAAGTGAAGCTGGGTCCTGTTGGGCTACATTCCCAGGAGGTCAAGCATTCCTAGCCTCCAGATGTTTACAATTCAGGGAACAGATTAATGATGTTTCCTAAACAGACTCGGGCCTTGACAGACCCAGAATCTCCTGGTACCTTGAGAACAAAAGCATTTCTAGCTTTAAATATGCTTTGTACCTAAGATGGTTGCTTTTCTCCTCTTACTTTTGGAGATGCCCTACCCTATGGGGTTGCTGTTCTTGCACCCCTTTAATAAAGTTGCATCCATTTTGCACTGTGGACTTGCTTCAAATTCTTCCTTGCATGAGATCCAAGAACCCTCTCTTGGGGTCTGGATTTGGACTCCTTTCTGGTATTAGGTGGTTCTACCATTCTGGGGTCTGGAGGATGGTAGCTCTCCTCTCACAGCAGTGCCGTAGTGGGGACTCTATATGGAGGCCCCAACCCCACTTCTCCCCTCCACCTCATCCTATTTGGAGGTTCTCTGGATTTTGTATACATTTTCTGAAATCTAGGTTGAGGTTCCTAAGCCTCGCTGTGCACCTGCAGGCTTAACACCAGGTGGAAGTTGCCAGGGCTTACAGTTTGCACCTTCTCAAGCAGCAGCCCAAGTTGTACCTTGACCATTGCTAGCCATGGCTGGACCTGGAGTGGCCAAAATGCAGGGCATCATGTCTTGAGGCTGCACAGAGCAGCAGGGTCCTGAGGCTGGTCCATAAAACCATTCAGTCTTCCTAGGCCTCCAGGCCTGTGATGAGAGGGACTGTCACAGAGGTCTCTGAAATGCTTCTGAGGCCTTTTTCCCATTGTCTTGTCTATTAGCAATTGACTCCTCTTTAATTGGGCAAATTTCTGCAACCTGCTTGTAATACCTCCCCTGAAAATGAATTTTTCTTATTTACTGCATGGCCAGGCTGCAAATTTTTCAAATGTTTAAGCTCTGCTTCTCTTTTAAATATAAGTTCCAGTTTCAGGTCATTTCTTTACTCAGGCATACAGGCATAGACTTTTAGAAGCAACTAGGTCAAGTCTTGAATGCTATGCTGCTTAGAAATTTCTTGCACAAGATACCATAAATTATCTGAAGTTCAAAGTTCCACCAATTCTTAGAGCAGGAGCACAATGCCACCAGTCTCTTTGTTGAAGCATACAAGCATACAACTCCGGTTCCCAATAAGGCTTTTCTTTCTATATGAAACCTGCTCAGCCTGGTCTTCATTGCCCACATGACTATCTATCTGCATTTTTTTTTTTTAATTTTTTAGAAAGGAAGGAAGGGAGGAAGGCAGGAAGGGAGGAAAGGAGGAAGGGAGGGAGGAAGGGAGGGAGGGAGGGAGGGAGGGAGAGAGAGAAGGGAAGGAAGGAAATCAAGCAATGAGAGAGACATTGCTGACCTGGGTCTAGAGGTCTACACGTTAATTTTTTTTTCTTTTTGTGAGAGAAGGAAAGAAAAAAAAAAGGAGTGAAGGAGAGGAAGAAAGAGGAAGAAAAAGAGGGAGAGAGAACAGAAATGTTGCTTTATTTTTTAAAAATGGGTATTAATAATGGCCAATCAATGTTTTATTTAAACCTATGAGTAGGTGTGATGTGGTATTGAGAAGAATGTATATTTTGTGTATTTAAAGTGGAGAGCTCTATAAATATTTATTAAGTTTACTTGTTCCGGATCTGAGTTCGAGTCCTTGATATCCTTATTAATTTTCTGCCTCATTGAGTCTAAGTCTTTATGTATCTGGATGTTAGGATTGTTAGCTCTTGTTGTTGCATTGATCCTTTTACCACTATATTTTTGTTGCTTTAAAATCTATTTTATCAGATACGAGAATTGCAACTCCTGCTTTTTATATATTTATTTATTTTTGCTCCCCATTTGGTTGGTAAATCTTTCTCCATCCCTTTGTTTTGAGTCTTTGTGTATCCTTGCATGTGAAATGGGTCTGGATGTAACATGCCATTGGGTTTTGGCTGTATCTTTTGATTGGGGGATTTAGTTGATTTAAATTTAGGATTACTGCCATTTGATGTTAACTGGCTGTTTGATCCATTCGTTGATGTAAATTCTTCTTTATGTTGATGCTCTTTACTTTTTGGTATATTTTTAGAAAGGCTAATACTGGTTGTTTCTTTCTATGTGTAGCCTCCCAAAGTGCTGGGATTACAGGCGTGAGTCACCGTGCCAAAGCCTAAACCTCTTTTCTTTGTAATTTTTTTTCCTCCAACCCCTTTAATATTTACTTAAACAGTTGAGGCACAAGCAATAATAAAACTGCGACTTTTAATGTTACAAAAAGATTCTGTATGTTATTTGCATGATATACCAATTTTCTCAATCTCTTCTGCATTAACATCTCATTAACACTCTGGTCCACTGGTTGATTTAATCAAGTCAGAATGGCAGGCAGAAAGATGGTAAAATGAACCAAATATTTACTGACTGCCTACTACGCTCGCTGTACTAGGTTTTACAAACTTTATGTAAGAACCAAGTTCTAGTTATCAGTCAACAGGCCAGCACTGCTACAGCCAGTAAGTCCGTTTTAAATGTCCTTTCACTGTAAGTACAAACTGTGAAACAAAACAATGTCTCTTTGCCCAAAGAAGCATGTCAACTGTTGCACTAATACATTATTTTCCACTTCCAAAGTTTTTGTTTTTCATAAGTGTGCAACATTAGCACATGGAAACATTCAAGCTGTTTATTACTCCACTGAAATCTGGGTTGTTTTCATTCTCACCTGCTGAGAACCATTTGGCCAGCATCACCCGAGTTACAAGCATTTTTTTTTTTTTTTGGTTGCTTCAAAATTTATTTGAGAAAAACAGAAGATAAACGTATCAAAAGAATACACAGGTGGGTGGGGCCGCACGGCCAGTGGCGGCGGCAGGGGTGGGCATCCGGGCTAAGGCTTTTACTTGGCTGCAGACTGGCCGGATTTCGCAGCTTCTGGGCCCCCACGCTGGGCCCGCGAAGAAGGTGACGGGGATGGTGGTCTCGTTGGACTGCGTGGCTGGCTTGGGCATGGGGGCCTCCAGGGTCCGTGTGCCCTCAGGGGACAGGGAGGAGGAGACCTGGGTAGGGTTCAGCGTGTATTTCCGGGTGAAGCACCGGGGGATGAATCCGTGCTCATCCTGCCGCTCCTCTTGCTTGCCGGTGATCTCCACCATGCCGTCCTTGATCTTGACCGTCAGCTCCTCGGGGGCGAAGTGGTTGACGTCCAGGGACACGCTCCAGCGGTCCGCCGTGTGCCGGATCTCCGAGACCCCGCTGCTGAGCTGCCTGCTGAGCGCGAGGCTGTAGGTGGGCGCAGCCACCGCGGGGCCCTGGACCGTGGCGGGAGGGCAGGGGTCAGGGGGCGCATGTAGCCCGGCCAGCTGTTGGTGGCGAACCACTGCGACCACTCCTCCCGCAGCTAGGGCATCCCGAAGGCCTGGTCAAAGAGACAGCTGTCCAGGTATCAGTCGCAGAAGGGGTCCCAGCTGGGGCTCCGCAGGAGCAAGAAGGGGACGTGGCGCTTGGTCATGCTGGCTGGCTCTGCTCGGGATTGCAAAACCCCATCCCTACTAAATATATAAAAATCAGCTGGGCATGGTGCACGCACCTGTAGTCCCAGCTACTCGGGAGGCTGAGGCAGGAGAATTGCTTAAGGTGGAGGTTACAGCGAGCTGAGATTGCACCACTGCACACCAGCCTGGCAACAGAGCGAAACTCTGTCTCATTAAAAAAAAAAAAAGGAAGAAAAGAAAATTGAAAATGGGCAAAGGACTTGAATAGTCATTCCTCAAAAGACGACATACAAATAACCAACTGGTGTCTGAAAAAATGCTGAACATCACTAATCAGGAGAATGCAAATCAAAACCACAAGGTATCTTCTCACACCTGTTAGAATGGCTGTTATCAAAAACACAAAAGATTCGTGTTGATGAGGATGTGGAGTAAAGGGGACCCTTGCGCATTTTGGGAATATAATTTGTACAGCCATCATGGAATACAGTATGGAGGTTCCTCAGACAATTAAACATAGAACTACCATGTGATCCAGTAATTTTCTTACTGGATCTATATCCAAAATAAGTGAAATCAGTATTTTTGCACTCCCATGTTCATTTCAGCATTATTCACAATAGCAAGATATGGAATCAAGCTAAGTGCCCATCAACAGATGAATGGATTAAAAATGTGGTAAATATACACAATGCAGTACTATCCAGCCATAAAATGAAGGAAATCTTGTCATCGTGGATGAACCTGCAGGACGTTATGCTAAGTGAAATAAGCCAGGTGCACAAAATCAAATACTGCAATTCACACTTACAGTGGAAGCTAAAATGATGGAACTTAAAGAATCAGAGAGTAAGAGACCTCTTCAAGGAGAACTACAAACCACTGCTCAATGAAATCAGAGAGGACACAAACAGATGGAGAAACATTCCATGTTCATGGTTAGGAAGAATTAATATCGTGAAAATGGCTATACTGCCCAAAGTAATTTACAGAATCAACGCTATCCCCATCAAGCTACCATTGACTTTCTTCACAGAACTGGAAAAAACCACCATGAACTTCATATGGAGCCAAAAGAGAGCCCGCATAGCCAAGTCAATTCTAAGCAAAAAGAACACAGCGGGGGGCATCACACTACTGGATTTCAAACTATACTACAAGGCTACAGTAATCAAAACAGCATGGTACTGGTACCAAAACAGAGATATAGACCAATGGAACAGAACAGAGGCACCGGAGGCAACACAACATACATACAACTATACAATCTTTGATAAACCTGACAAAAACAAGCAATGGGGAAAGGATTCCATGTTTAACAAATGGTGTTGGGAAAACTGGCTAACCATGTGCAGAAAGCAGAAACTGGACCCCTTCCTGACACCTTACACTAAAATTAACTCCAGATGGATTAAAGACTTAAACATAAGACCTGGCACCATAAAAACCCTAGAAGGAAATCTAGGCAAAACCATCCAGGACATAGGAGTAGGCAAGGACTTCATGAACAAAACACCAAAAGCATTGGCAACAAAAGCCAAAATAGACAAATGGGACCTAATGAAACTCCACAGCTTCTGCACGGCAAAAGAAACAGTCACTAGAGTGGATCGGCAACCAACAGAATGGGAAAAAATTTTCGCAGTCTACCCATCTGACAAAGGGCTGATATCCAGAATTTACAAAGAACTCAAACAGATTTATAGGAAAAAAACAAACAAGCCCATTCAAAAATGGGCAAAGGATATGAACAGATACTTTACGAAAGAA